TAATAAATTTTATTTTTTAGTATTAATTAATATAAAAATATAATAATTATAATTTTAACTTGTGACTGAGGACATAAAATTTAATTATAATAGGCAAAATATGGTGCCAAACCATTCGGAAATAAAGACGGGAGCTTGAAGGTTAAGGGTGGGTTGAGATGGACATATTAAACAAGGTGGAGTGATTTTATGACTTGGATCTAAACATGGCCCCATTTCTATCCATTTTAGTGTTCTGCGGCAATTTCTCTCTCTCTCTCTCTCTTCTCCACGTCAGGGGACAATGAAATCTCCAAAACAACCCATTTAATTAAAGAGATAATTACAAGTTGAAAGACTTAATTGAAGGGAATCCAACTCATATAAAAAATTTCCTATTCCAGTCTTTTTCTCCGGCAATGATCATCTATTTCTGCGATGCCATTCAAGTGCACAATCCTTTATGAATCCAAATCAACTCCAAATCAAGCAAAGTCAAACAAGAAACATAAAAGGATCAATTCTATTTTCAAACCAAAGATGGATTTAAACTGGTCATGTTCTCCAATTCATCAAAAAGATTCAAAAGTCAATGATGATTATGAGAAGTTCATCATCAGAAAAAAGAAAAAAGAAAAAAGGAAATGATTACAAAATTTATAGGATTAAGAACCCCTGAGAAGGAAAATCCAAATCCACATCCACAAATCCCCTACCTAAGCAATTGATCATGGCGAAACCCCCATTAAATTCCTCTCAATCTTCTCATTTGTTTTTTGTTCTTGTTCATAATTCTTTACCACCAGTTTCTTCCACCTCCCAAAATTATTCCATTCTCCTCCCAAACAAATCTAAACAAAAACTTACCAATCCTAGCACCACCGCAAGAAAGAAGACGAAACAAAGAGTTAATCTTTTGTTACAGGGCATAATGTTGACAGAGGAGAACCTAGAGATGTTCGGGCACACAAATCAGCCACAAGAACCCAGATTTGGGTTGTCCATTGAAGCAAGAAACCCACATCTTGCCAACGATGAGCTCACGCCCCAATATGCCATTTGTGAGATTCAACCCTAATCTCGCCGTAGTCTTGCTGGGATCAGGAATACAGCGAAGCATGAGAAGAAAGAACGAGAGGAAGAGAGGAGAAAAGAGAAGGGTTAGGGTTTGGGGAAGAAGAAGTTTAAGGGCAAATTTGTAATTTAGTTTCTTATTTATTTTCATATTTCATTGGGCCAACGCAATGAAAGTAGATATTTTGGAGGTTTCATTGGGTCCAGTTGACATGGAGAAGGAAAAAGTGAGAAATCGCCACTAGGGACAACTTTTTTTTATCTCATTTTTTAAAATAAAATTTTCACATTTTATTAAATAAGTAGATGTATTTAATATCATAGATTTCACTTGAATTAAAAAAATTAATCATTTTAATAACATGCAAGTTGTATACAAAGATTATACAAAAAAGTAAGACAAAAAAATTTAGAATTGCTATTAAGACAATTATTTTGTCTTATTTTTTTGTATAATTTGACGTATCATTGGTTCTTTTAATTTATGTGAAATTTATGATATTAAATGTATTTATTAATTTAATAACATGTAAAAATTGTATAAAAAATAAAACAAAAAAGTTTTCTCCATAGTATAACCCAAAAAGATTACACAGACATGATTTTCCAAACTAAAATGGGTCAAAATGGGGCCACGTCAGCGTTCAAGTCATAAAAATGGTTCTAATGTGTTCTAAAAGTCTACCTCAGCCTTCCGTTAACGATTTATTCACGCATGATGCAAGTAGTTAAATAATAGATAAATTTTACATCGATTGATTTGAGGGGTGCCATTTGTCTATGTAATTTTTGACGAGTGAAATTGTCCGATCACCATATTGACAGGGTGCCTTTGAGGGTTCTCACTTGATACAATGTCATAATCTCGACTGTCGGATTGAACTAATTAAACACGCTAATTTTAAATTTCTTGATGAATAAAGGAATACCTGCATTCGCCAGAGGAGGTCACTGCAAGGCTTAACCTGGTGGCGGTTCCTGTGGAAATTCTGGCGAGCTTCTTCCACTTGGGCCCTTTCTTCATGGGTACCGGCGTCGGGATCGAATTCCCACGTCTGTCTCCCTACGTAGTTGTTTGTGCTGTAGAGGTAGGGACCGTCCACGCCCTCTCCAATCTTCAGCTTCCACATTTTTGGTTCAAAATTCAATCAGAAACCGCTCAACTAGGCCTTCTCTCTTCACTCTGTTGCATAAAAAATGCAGAAATTCTTAAGCACTTGAAAATTTTTATAAAGAAATTAATCCGAAAACAGTTATCTATGATGCGATGATGGCCGGAAATTAGTCACCTGAGAATTGCGGAGGCCTCTGTCTGCTTTGTTTAGGGAAGGTTTGGCAGAGAAAGGAACAAGGAACGAAATAGGGTTGAAGAAGAAATTTAAGCGTGGGAATATGGGAGAAAGGTAGGAGATACTTATATTAGATATGGCACCTTTCTTTCACACACCACCCAAAATAAAGGGGGAAAATGATCATATGGCTCCTTCCCCAACCGTATTAATTAATTTTGGTTGTTCCCCAACCCTGTTAACTAGTTTTGATTGTTCCCCAACAGCGCGTACTAATTAATTTTGGTTGCTATTTTCTCTTTGTTTTCGAAAATAGGTAATGGTTGCTATTCTCTTTTTCAAACTGTCTGTTCAAGTCGATATAAATATTCTTAATTAGTACCTTTTCTTTAAGTTGCCCAAGCAGAACAAACTTTGAATATCTTATTATTTATGGGTTTAGGTAATTAGGTAAACGGAGTTATCATTTTAATCAAAGTTAATTTTAGTTGGAAAATGGAATATAACATGCACAAGGTATAGCTCTGAAATGAATCAGCGAGGCGATGGTTTCAAGATTTATGTCTTCTTACTGCCATTGAGCTAAGATTTTATGTATGAATATAGAAAATCAGAGATAAATATTAATTCTCAAATTCACTCGTTACATACGAGAGTAAAAACAGATTTATTTTTCAAAAAATGTAAAAATAAATTGTCTTTCTAAATTATCAATTAAAACTAATAACTTATTATTTTCTTTGTCATACAAATAACTTATTATTTAATGTATGATGTCATCATAAATCAGTTTTTCATTAAAAAATGATTACGTGGCAAATGAATTTTTTATGTGTGATGATGTCATATATTAAATAATAAGTAATTTGTTTTGATTAATAATTTGAATAATTAATTTGTCCCTTTTTTTTTAAAGATAGATTTGTCCCTACATTCCTATTTAAGAGATAAATTTAGAGATTTTGTCAAAAGTTAAATATATTTTTTAAAGTAATTTCAGAGTTTTTATTTGAAGTAAAAAACAAGGAAAGTCAAACAACTAACCTCCTTGTGTGAAATAAACTTTTTCTTCTACCAAAAAAATGAAATAAAAAGGAGAAGGCCTTTTCCAGGTCAATCTGCTCAAGTACGCAGACATATACAGCTGCAAATTATGGTGTTGAAAGGGAGAGGGGAAAGACTAGTGAGAGTTTTTACACACCCCTCAACAAAGTTTTTTACTTTTGAAATGATAAGTTACATCTACATTTTTTTTTTTTGACAATGGTTTGTATAATATGATATAATGATAGTATTTTATAATTAACTTATTTTACTTAAAAGTCATATGTAAATCAGTATGCATTTAATTGTATCCATATCATGTTATATTGTATAAAGAATTGTAAAACAGTTATATTGCCATTTACATTTTAATCAAAGCAATTGGCAAGGTAATGGTTGCCAATGTTGACATAATGGCCCAAGTCACTAGTTGCTAAGAAAATTAATTGCTATTTAAAAATGGGTTTAATGTAAAACGTAAATATAGAAAGTTTTACCATTCAGACTTTGATTAGTATATTATTCGATTTAATACACTATGTAATATATTTATTAAATAATTATTTTTTTTATTTGAAATTATTTTTTATTTAAAATTAAAGGTAAACAAATTTAAAAATGTAACAATATATACAGTATGTAAAAATTAGTTAAATTAACTATTTTTATATTATATCAAAAAGTATGTTGACTCGAATAATATAACAATCATTTTCCTTGTTACTTACATATTAGAAAAAATTTAAAGTGTTTTAGCTTTCACAAAAGGCTGAACCTGCACGCATTGATCTCTCGAACTTTTATAAGCAAAATGAAACAAATATTATTAAGACAAGGATTAGAAGATGAGACTAAGGTGTTTGTTTGGCATTGATCAAATTCCAGGAAAGTGATAAAAAACCACACACTGAAAATGGCTTCTATAGTTGCCCATAATTTTCAAAGGCACTTTCCCAGAAATCGTTTCCCAAATTAAACACTCAAAAAGTTGGAGTAAATGGCAGGTAATAATTAGTTATGCTGCCTATAAAGCTCGAAATACTTGTGCGAAGGTTGGTTTAAGATATCCTTGCATGATGAAACTTATATTTCTTGTTGTTTTTTTTTTTAATCAAATATTATACTTTTATTAGTTGTTAAATTTGTCTTCCTAATGTGGAATGGTAAAAACTAAAAATATTGTGATTGGGTCTGTATGCACGTGTTCCATTTTTGTCCATAAGGGCATGCATCGTCACCATCTCATATTATGGCAGTCAAGGTAGACAATGGAAAGAAGTGCCAAGTTCACATGCTTTTCCTAAGTTGAAAAACTTATGTCATGTTTCACGTCTCTTACCAATATTGAACTTTTTTCTTTACCATTTTTTAATCTTCTTCTTTTCTTCATTTCTTTTTTATTTATTAAAATTGCCAGAAAGATCTATATTACCCCATCCACTGGTTCAAGATCTTCTCCGGATGTCTCTCCACTATGTTTATGAGCCCTTTTTTACTCGTTGGCCTTGTAAAATCTTGAGAGAGAAAGCTTTGCATACTGTTAGTCAGCATATACACTATGAAGATGAGAATACTCGATATATATGCATAGGGCCTGTAAACAAGGTATGGACTAAGAAATTTTCTTATTCCCAGTTTTTATGTTGAATTAGAGCGTATTCTTTCGACTATGAAGATTTTGCTATTATGAAGGAAAATTCTTGATAGTTGTCTAATTTATACAACTGGATAGCTTTGAAAATAAAACTCTATTTTGATGCTTCAGGCCACAGAAAGTTTCCACTTCTTTATTTTATGGACTTTTTCATCACCTGTGACATCTTTTTCTTAAATGAAAATTTTCACTTAAATTTTGCAGGTATTAAACATGCTATGTTGTTGGGTGGAAGATCCATATTCAGAGGCATTCAAACTGCATCTCCCAAGAATTGCAGATTACTTATGGGTTGCTGAAGATGGCATGAAAATGCAGGTTCAGCCAACATTGGACCCTGATTTACAATCTGTCTTCCCTCTCCTCTACCTTCCAAATTTTGTCTCATGCTAGTTGAAATTTCTAGATTCTTGTGTCTTTCTACAGTTTTAAGAGTGTATTTCTTTTAGGGATCAATTACATATATTAGCTCAAAATAATCTATCGTTATCTGTAATACCTTTTATGCTTGTGATAAATGCAGGGTTACAATGGGAGTCAGTCCTGGGATACTGCTTTTGCTGTCCAGGCAATTATTTCTACTGTTCTTGCCGAGGAGTCTGGTTTGATTTTTAAGAAAAGCGCATGATTACATAAAAACCTCCCAGGTTCTCATCTCTAGAAATTGTTTTATCTTAATTTTATAGATGCTGGTCGTGTCCTTGCTGGGTCAGTTATACTTTGCTTTCAGGTGTTAGAGGACTGCCCTGGAGATCTAAATTTCTGGTTTCGTCATGTTTTAAAAGGTGCTTGGCCATTCTCAACTGCAGATCTTGGATGGCCTATATCTGACTGCACAGCTGAAGGATTGAAGGTATAAATAATGAACACGCTGTGGCAAACTTCCTATTGTGACAAACATTACTAAACTTTATTGACATCTATTCTTTTTGCATTACTAAACTTCTTATCAACCCTGCTGAAACTTTTGGTGACATAGTCATTGATTACCCGTAAGGTTTCTGCATGCTTCAATTTCTGCATCTATATTTTATTTAATTGATGACATTCTGGTTTAACTTTCATGGAACGGTATTACAGATATGTTGAGTGTACCTCAGCAGAAATTCAACCACTGACGTCATTCAATAAATTATACCCCAAGCATAGGAAGGAAGAGATGGAAAATTGTATTCCAGAGCAGCAAAGTTCATTGAAACTACACAAGCAAAGGATGGCTCTTGGTTTGTTTATCCACTGTTGTCTACACCTTAAAATTGTTTTCTTAATTATTTATTTTAATATGTTTAGTTCAAGTAAAATGAATTTATGTCAATTAATTAATTAAGAATTAGGGTTCTTAAACAATTTTTCATCTATTAAGCCCAAAGAAACTTTGATTATCTATTTAAACAACTTTAAGTATTATTTTATTTTCTTTCTTAATATGTTATGTAATAATTTAAAAGTTTTGTTCCTTTTGGCATCAAGGAATATTTTTTTCCTTTCATGATTGAATTTATAATTTTTTTCTTTTGTTAAATCAATCTAAGTTAGAGTTTACCTTTTTTAAAAATATGTTAGTTTTTTTTATAATATTATTGTTTATCAATATAACCTCAAAAAAATTAAGAGGAAAACACCCAAAATTATCTTGCTTCAATGAAATCAAAACACTCTTATTCCTACTCTAAAAATATGCTGTTTTTATCTTTTTTCAACGCAAGTTTATTAAAACAATTAATTTTGTAGTGTTTTTCCTTATAATTTGTGTTGAGGGATGAAATTGTATAGTTTTGAATTGGGTGACGTGTGTAATGCTACATCAGTAAGATCAGCTTCGGACTTGTGACTAGAAAGGGCCCACATGATTTTTCTCCACATTGGACATGCCACTTCTATTTTCTGCTATGGCCACAGCAAAGTTAGCATGGTTAGAAACAACATCCGTCCACTTCGTTGGAAACAATATAAATATGGTCCACTTCATTATCTATCTTTGCATGTTTGGCCATACTTGGCTGCATCCATCTCTGCAACATGGTTGGATATTTCTGGTGGCCATGTCTTTTACAATGGTGTTTACCACCATCTCCTTTGGCTTCCAACAATGGATAAAGAGCCTATTTTGCTACACCTACATGGCTCCCATCAAAGGGCAATGGGCTAAATCTATTACATCTACACAAATCCCATCGATGGACAAAGGGTCGGATTTGCTATCTCATTTAATCTCTAGCAATGGGCAAAAGGTTACGTACTTCTACATATCTTCATTACATTGGCTCTCGGAAATGGACAAACGGTCAGATCTCTACATATTTTATCTCACTGGTTCTTGAAAACAGACAAAGAGTTAGCGCAACTTTGTACGATTAGTGTGAGGTCGGTAAGAGTTGCAACCCTGTGATTGGTTGGGATGGCTACCCTTCAGTGATAAAAATCCATAAGTAGCAGCCGACAGTCCCTTGGTGGTCATTCGTGCATGGTGGTGTAGTGCATGGTGGGTAACAACAACCACCCTTTAACGGTGCGGGTACGGTAAGAAGGGCCAATGTTTGTCAATGGTATCAAACCTTATTGTATTGGAGGCCATGGATGCAGTTGGTGTTCCCTCTTCCATGGAGATAACTCCACCTATCTTTATCACACATTCATC